AGGATCAGATGGCCATATCTACCTGGCTTTGTCTGGCTCTCCTGTTCCATTGATCCTCGCGTATAAAGAACTTTAAAAACTACTGAGCCCAAGAGGGATGGCTTCTAAACCTCATCCGGACCTACTCCAGGTCTCTAATGCAGTCGGATACTTCTGACGTGAGCCTGCCACATCTTCAGTGTGCCAGCACTTCTTCAGATAATATTTCTTCTGCCAGAACCACCCTTTCTTCCTGTCCACCAATCAAGCACCTGTGCACACTAGAAACCTTTACATATTTCTTCCGGTGAAGCCCATTCTACCCACTCTGGGAAGGACTAGTCTTTACCTCTGCAACTGCACAAGTGTTTGTTCAAACTTCTATTAAAATACTTAATCTTGATTAAAAAAAAAAAAACTTTAAAAACCTCATACCAAAAAACAACCCAACTGAAAAACAGACATTTCTCAAAAGCAGCAATACAAATGGCCAACAAATACAGGAAAAGAGGTTCATCATCCTTAGCAATCAGGGAAATGCAAAGCAAAACTACCCTGAGATTCCTTCTCCCTCTAGTCAGAATGGCAGCCATCAAGAACACAAGTCACAGCAACTGTTGACAAAGATGGGGGGGAAGAGTACACTCGTGCTTAACTAGCAATTCAGTAGTTTAGAAGTAATAACTAGTAACTTAGTAATTTAGAAGATGCGGGTAAAGGGTACACTCACACTTAACTAGCAGGGCTGCAAATCAGTACCAGCACTCTGGAGAGCAGTATGGAGATTTCTCAAAAGACAGGAAACAGAACCACCAAGGAACCACTGACCCGGTCCTGAAAACCAGCATTGGGTCCTCATTCCTCCAGTGTTGAAAATTACACACCAGAGAAACACTGGAGCAAGAAAGCAAGTTTTATTCAAGAGACAAGAGAGAGAGAGAGAAACTCCTCTGGAGAGGAGGGTCCAGGGCTGGTGCCAGGCAGAGGGGGTGTCTTGCCCCTTATAGATTTCAGGTTTCCTGTCTTCTCGAGCAAAGGGCAGGGAGAGCGCTGCCAGGGGCTGACTGCTCGTGTGGGACAGAGGTAGGCAGCCTGGTGCTGGCAAGTGCTACCTACCCACTTCCTTTTCCTTGATTATCACCAACCTGCCCTTTGCCCGTCTCACCACCATTCGGCCCAGCTATCCCACTCCTTGGTATTCATCCAAAAGAACTAAAATCAGCAAACTTTAGGGATACAGAGATGGCAATGTTCACAGCAGCAAAATCCACAAGAGCCAAGGTTGGAACCTGCCATCAACAGAGAAGTGGAGAAAGGAAATGTGGGCTATTGACAGCGGAGCTCTACTCGGCCCCAGGGAGGACGAGAGCAGGGCACGTGCAGTAAACGGGTGGCATGGCGACATCACGCCAGGTGAAACAAGCCAGGCTCAGAACGACGAGGTGCAGTGTCGGCCCTCGAGTGGGAAAGCCAGAGAGGAACTAGGCATCTGAAGAGGAGGAGCCCAGGAAAACAGGAGTGAGAACAGTGCAGGAAAGGAAGGGCACTGGGGGGAGATGGGAAAGGGCGGGAACTGCAGGTGATGGTGACCTCATCACATGGTTCACAGTGAGCTCCACTGTACATGTGACCACAGAGCACCAATCCAAACACAGTGGACAAAGGAAGACCAAGAGAGAGGAAGACGGGCCGAGGGGGGAGGAGGAAGAAAGCGGAAGAACTGGGGCCTGAGATGGAGCGGACCATGGCGCATGCGTTTGTAAATAGTCAAAATGAACTCACTATTACGGGTAACTATAACATACGAATAAAGACGTTTTTAAAAAAAAACACTGTAAGAGGGGCTAGCACTGGCTCGGTGGCAGAGCACTTGCCTGGCATGTGTGAGGCACTGGGTTCAATTCTCAGCACCACATAAAAATAAATAAAAATAAAATAAAGGTCCATCGACAACTAAAAAAATATTTAAGAAAATAAAAACACTGTCAAGGAAAAGTCAAGCCACAGGCTGGAAGAAAATTTATCTCCTAAAGAACTTGTATCCAAAATATATAAATTTAGAACTTTCAGAACCCAATAAGAAACAAACACCCTAATTAACACCCGGCTAAAAATTTGGACACTTTACCAAGGAAGACATAAGATGGCAAATAGGCACATGAAAAGACTTCAACATCATAAGCCCTTAAGGAAATGCAAATATAATCACGAAAAACCCTGACGACGGCCATACCCAGCCACGACAGAGAGGACCTGGAACCCCCGCAGCCGGGGGAGTCTAAGGTGCGCAGCGCCTGGGAACAGCTGGGCCGCTTCTTAAAAGGAAACTTCACGCACCCTACAATTCCGCAGTCTTGCCCCGAGGCTCCGAAACGACAGGACGGAGGCACTGACCCAGAGGCAGTCCACAGCAGCTCTGTCCCTCCCATAGGAGCAGCCCCTGTCACTGCCCGCACACAGACCCACACACCGGACACCCTATGGCGGTGCCCTTACTGCTCGGCGGGAACAGGGAACGACTGTGGGTCCATGCTGCGATGCGGGCACACGGGAAAGTGACTGCAGAGCAAAAGAAGCCAGGCTCGCCCCCACAGAGCACACGTCCCTGACCTTGTTCACACAGTCCAAGGACACGCAGACGTCAGCACAGCAACAAAAAGCCAGGGACTGGGGGGCAGGGGACAAGGAGGCAGGTGGGAGGCAGTCCGTTCTCCACCACCTCCTCTGGAAAGAGACCTGCCGCCCCTGGGAGGGAAACCTTTACTGTGGTCCTTGGAGGAGCTCAGTGGCCACATCTGGCAGCTCTACATGTGGGCTCACCTCTAAAGCCAGGGTCAGCAAACGACTGCCCACAGGCCGCCCTGTCCCTCTGGGCAGTCCTGCAGAACCCAGCCCCTACATTCACCTCCACACGGCTGTCTTCGCCCCCTGGGCTGGAGTGGCTGCCACCACAAGGCTCCACAACCTGATGTGATGACCATCTGGCCCTTCAAGAGTCTGCTGACTCCTGCTCAAAGAAACGTGCTCTGCGTGCCAGATGCGGGCACACTGTTGACAGCAGCAGCGGCTGAGGACACCCACGTGTGCATGGATGAAGATAAGTAAACCAATCAGGGATCCAGCCTTCAACTACAGTGATACACTGACCCACAGGCGTGGAAACAGGGAGAGCCTAGAAACACGTCACCAGAAGAAAGCCACCCGCACCACGTGACATCACAACGTAACACCACCAAGTGAGGCAGCCCCAGGGGAAAGCAGAGGGCAGAGAGGCGGCTAGGGGCTGCCCTCCAGAAAATGGGGCGAAAAGCACTTCAACTTAAATCTGATATTTATCAATATCCTAGAAAACCAGAGAGAGGTTTTCTGCGGGCTCCTCCCCACCCAGCTGCACATCACCTGCAGTTGACTGAGCTTTCTCAAACCAGCAGATATTCATGAAACAAAGACAACTTCCCCTTTTATCTTCTGAAGTTAAGTGATTTACCAATGTGAAATTTACCCTTCAAAGGAGGCCTGAAACAAAGTCCCAGTACGCTTTGTACAAAAAATGGAGCTAGCCAGGCGCGGTGGCACACGCCTGTAATCCCAGCAGCTCAGGAGGCAGAGGCAGGAGGATTGAGATTTCAAAGCCAGCCTCAGCAACGGAGAGGCGCTAAGCAACTCAGTGAGACCCTGTCTCTAAATAAAATGCAAAACAGGGGGCTGGGGATGGGGCTCAGCAGCAGCGCACTGGCCTGGCACATGTGAGGCACCAATTTAAAAGTGAGTCTCAGCACCACATATAAATAAATAAATAAAGATCTATCAACAACTGAAAAAAAACACAAAACAGGACTGGGATGAGGCTCACTGGCTGAGCCCCCCCCCCCAGTTCAATCTCCAGTTAACCCGCCCAAAAAACCACAGCTATAAAATCTAAACCAGTGGGCACCCGAAAGGCACCTACATGAACAGACCAGAGGGATGACCCTGGGTTTCATCGCTAGGGATATCTGGACGCCCTGGAGCAGAGGCACAGGGCTGTGGCGGAAGAGAGTCCGTGGCAACAGAGGACTGGGCGAGGACTGGGCGAGGCCTCGCCCCACCTGCTGCTGCAGAGGGCGCCTCCAACGCCAGCTACGGGCTGTTTCAGGCCATAACTTCACAACTGGACATTTTAAGCAGGATTTTCTGAAACGAATAACCATTAATTTGGGAGGAAAAACAATG